ATATATATAGGCTTTAATTTGATCTCGGCACACACGCGCATATCTAGAATTGGCATCGTGGATTAGATAGAGACGAGTGACAGGGTAGTAGCACTGTGTGTTAACACTGAACTCCTTCTACGGCGGAATCGATGTGCTCAGTACTGCGGGAGATCTGATCTGCAAACAATTGGTCAGATAGAGAGATTGTACCCGTATATAGAAATCTAGAATTAAACTATATTAGTAGCGCCAGTGCTGTTAGAACTGGGTCTGAAGGCTTCGATAATTTTTGGAACGGATACGTTTATATGCAGGCAGGATTTGGCGCTGTATTTGGATAGATAACTGAATCAATTAGGTACATACCATCTAGAATTGAAGTAACTAGTGGGGAAATGGTCCAAAGTGCTCGACAACAACTGGAACTGATACGTTTATATGCAATTGGGAAGCACGATTTGCCACAGTATTTGGATGGAGACATATCTCGAATAAAAAATTTCGGTACACACGTACCCTCTTAAACACAGAAAACACATGGCTGGCATAGTTGGCGGATATATTAGGTTTGAATTTTAGCCAATTACTTATAGTAGCCTGTAACCTGTCCTTGTGCACGCCGAGTGACGTTTCCTTACGGAGACGATTCAATCGATCCTAAAACCTAGGACCCTAAAACACTCCATGCTACTCTAGCCCAGAAGCCGAAACTGCCTAGACACTTGCTGGGTGTATATGGTTGGGTGTTGGTACATACAACGCTCAATCCTCCGATAGTGACCATGTCATTGCTCTCCACCTTTACAACACCGATTTCCCGGAATGGACTAATATAAATTGGATCAATATAACGTGGACTAATGTCAAAAGCCCATCAACGCCCATCAGTACTACCCAATTCATCCTAAAACCCTAAAACCATCACATGCTCTGACTACGTTTGCGCTCAGACGTCTCCGTAACCACGCACCGAAGCCGGGATGCATTCTCTGTGCGCACATTTGCCGTTGCTAGGCAACCAGACAATCTCATCTTGGATATAGTTGACATGGAAATCGTTGTCACAGACTACACATGTTGCCTCCGGGCCTATAACCACCCCGGTAGACCTCTTGCCGGTTGCTAGGTCGTTGCTAAGGGTGTCCAGGCGTATGTGTAGCATACCCCTTTGCACCTCCGAGGTTCGGGCTCGCGACTGCGATCGCATCAGCGAAGACTGGGGATGGGATGTGGAAGGTTAAAGTTTGTGGTTGTGTGGTACAGCAAGACAAATTGTTTTAAGTGGTCATTTGTAGTCAACTATAGTCTATGGAAGAGGTAAGTGGTTGTCGTTGTGTGGTACATAAAACATAACTCCCTTTAGCAATAGTCACAACTATAGTCTATGGATGTAAGAGGTTGTCGTTACGTGGTACATAAAACATAAATTCCTTTAGCAATAGTCACAACTATAGTCTATGGATGTAAGAGGTTGTGGTTGTGTGGTACATAAAAACATAACTCCCTTTAGCAACAGTCAACTGTAGACTATGGATGCAAGAGGTTGTGGTTGTGTGGTACATAAAACATAACTCCCTTTAGCAATATTCAACTATAGTCTATGGATTTAAGAGGATGTGGTTGTTCCTGAAACTTATCAGGAAACTCTTTAGGCGCAGTCCCCGACTGTAGCGTTACAGATTGATGTGGGACCATATAGCCACAGACGCGACTCGTATTAGGCTTGCTTCTTTAAGTATTCAAGCAGAAAACGTACTATGAATACCTTTCGCTCAAACGATCACGTGTACTGACATACATATACTGGTACACGCATACATATACAACGTATACACAATTCGCAATGCACAGCTGAGTTTCAAAGTAAACATACACGTACCTATATATATAAATATATATATATATATGGTATATATATATATATATACATATATATACATATATATATATATATATATATATATATATATATATATATATATATATATATATATATATATATATATATATATATATATATATATATATATATACTATATACTATA